AACAACAACAACAAAATACAACCAATCCCACTGCTGCTGAGTAGATTTTGACTCATAGTGGTCTTATACAGGGTTTCTGAGATTGTAAATCTTTATGGGGGATGGGGGGGGCAGTCAACCCTATTTTCTCCAGCAGAACTGCTAGTGGGTTTGAATCACTGAGTTTGTAGCATGTGCTGTGGAGGCAGTTCTGACTCATAGCGACCCTGTATAGGGTTTCCAAGGCTGTCATTTGAAATATAAAAATTTACTTTACTTTGTAATAGATTATTTTCTACCACCTCTGAGATCCCAAAGCTCTTTGTACTCACACCTACTATGATGTTAAGTGCCGTCAAGTCAGCTCCGATTCATGTGAGCCTATGTAGGATTTCTGAAGAGTATGGTGAGTTTGAACCGCCGAACTTGCTGTTTAAACTGACCTTGCGGCCCAGTGCATTATCCCACGACACCATACTAAAACTCCACTATGAGTAGAGCTCTGTGTGTGGTTCTTGGATAGAAAGAATTTGTTTCTGGTCTCAGTGACTCTTGAGTATAGTGGTATGACAGAAAAAATAACTCATGTTGATGTGTACATCTACTGTAGTACATATATACATATAGAGTGATGTACATGTCAAAGTGAATTGTAATGAGCTATTTTTTCTGTTATACCACTATACTCAACAGTTACTGAGAACAGAAACATATTCTTTCTGATTTCTAATAATAGAAACATATTCTTTCTAATTTCTAATTCTTTCTAATTTGATTGTATGTTGTCTGGTAAAGTAAATACTCATCTACTACCAAATGAAGCAAAAAAAAAGTACCTGCTAATATATATGCATAAAAGAAAAATGAAAGGAAAAAACAAAAAAAAAAAACCTAAAACCAGGTTAATTTTCTTTGAGGGCATGTTTATCAAAGAATAATCTTTGCTATCTATGAACCAGAACTAACTCCATGGTACTTAACAACAACAACCACCAGCATTCTCTGGAACTATCAATTATTGTTATTAAGTACCGTCAAGTTGGTTCCTACTCATAGAGATCCTATATAGAGTTTCTGAGAAGTGACTGGTGGGTTTCATCTTCTGACATTGTGGTTAGCAGTCCAGTGCTAATACTACAGCACCACAGCAGGACCCCGAATTTAGCTTTCCATTAAGATACCATAAAGTGCATTAGCAGAGACAGCCTGTACCTAAGGAACTGTGAGCACCTTAGATCTTTGCATTTTCTGCTCTTTCCATGCTGCCTCCTTCCCTTGCTTTAGATCCTCAGATGTCTCTGGGTTTCATTTACTCTTTTCTACCCTCTTCCACCATCTTGGGTGATTTTAAAGTGTTACATACTCTAAATGTTCTTGCATCTCCAGTCTTATCTATAAGTGGGGAAAAAACACTCCAAGTTTGTTAGAAGAAATTTAAGGACTTTCCATATTTGGTGCCTTAGTGATGTGAAACCCAGGCGATGGTTGGTGTTCCTTATGGGTAAGGTCTAGTTTGATTATCAGAAACTACAGGGCTCTACACTTTCTCATGTAATGTGTACCTCTAAGCTTTGATTCTCTTGTTGTAGTCTTACTGCTTTAACTACAACCATTTATATCAACTTGATCTTGCTCACATAGTTGTTGTTGTTATGTGCCGTGGAGTCGGTTCCGACTCATACAGACCCTGTACAGGGTTTTTGAGGCTGTAAATCTTTACGGGAGCAGAAAGCCTCATCTTTCTCTCATAGAGCAGCTGGTAGTTTTGAACTGCTGACCTTGCCGGTTGCAGCCCGATTAGTAACCACTATGCTACCAGAGCTCCTTTAGAGACACTATTATAAACACTTCTGCAAAACACCAGTGAGTTTTACTTTTATTATTTCTACCAATTACCAAATAAAAATGGAGTCCTGGTGTGGCACCATAGGATAAGCACTCAACTGAAAAGTTACTTTAACCAAAAGGTTGGCAGTTTAAACTTAACAGCCGCTCCTTGGAAGTCCTATATAGAGTCACTATCAGTTGGACCCAACTCAACGGCACTTAACATGAATAGCTAGTTGGAATCAACAATTCTCTGTCCTTAATAAACAGGAATATCCCTAAACAGAGGCACTCTGAATCCATCTGCAGAACAGTACCTTTAAATCACCCTTTTAATTCTGTTGCAAATATGAATATTACTGCATTAAAAGTAAATCAGATGCTACTTATAATTACTTAAGAGACTCAACAAAGCAAAGGAGTATAAATTTCTTTTAGACTCTCAATAGTAAGACAAGATACATATAGGAATTTTGTTGTTGTTGTTAGATACCATTGAGTCGGTACCGACTCATAGCAACCCTATGCATAGGAAGTAGTGACTTGCAAAAATTATTTAGATATAAGGTTGCTTAAGGAGCTCTGGTAGCGTAGTGGTTACAAATCGGGCTGTGAACCTCAGGGTCAGTAGTTCAAAACTACAAGCTGTTTCGCGGGAGACAGATGAGGGGTTTTGCTACTGTAAAGATTTATAGCCTCGGAAACCCTGTACAGGGTCGCTGTGAGTCGGAACTGACTCCATGGCACATAACAACAACAACAAGGTTGCTTAAACAAGAAATAAAAGAAAAAAAAATCCTATCAAAATATAAAAGATACATACATGACCTACATCTATGGAAGCAGTAGCTCAAATGAGGGAACAAATTCTTACAACAAGAATCATTCCCACCCCCTCCACACA